AACAGAAACCTAAGAATAGCCCTTCTTGTTATTACTTTAATAAACAGCTTTTGACTATAAACTGTATTGATACTTCTCCTCTAGGGTAATTCCTATAGGCAAGGTTTATCTCCTCTTAGTAAAATAAAGTAAAGTTATTAGTATTGCATTACTTTTTCCAAACTGCCTCAGAGAAGGGTATAGTTTCTTGACAATGTCTAACAGAAGCTATACTTCTCTCTTGGATACTGCATATACCTATAAGGGATTCTCTGTGCTGTGTCATTATTATAGTATGAAAATTAAGAAGGCTTTCACCTATAACAATATATAAAATTAATTAGTTGTTTTTTATAATCTAAATACTATAGTATGTGATGTTTAAAACTATATATATTTAAAAACTAATAACTTTTAATCTAAAAACAATATTAAAAAAAGAAAGATATTGTTTTATAACTAAATTATTTACTATAACTTAGCAGTCTTATTTTTTTAAAAATTATAATAACATTTTAAAATATATTGTTTTAAAAATATAGTATTTTTATATGATAACATATAAAAATATCAAAAATAGAATAAATATTAATAAATTTTTTTAAAAATATATTATATATTAAATTCAAATTCAAAATAATAAATCATTAAAATAAAAATTATTAATAATTTTTATATAGTATTAAAGGCAAAATAGTTACCAGAGTTGCTTTAATTTAGTATTACCTTAATTTATATTTTCTTATAACAAGAATGTCTTTTAAACAAGCTAATTATTATGTAGCAATTGTATCTTAAAAACTAAAAGCCAAGCTATCTAACTAAAATAATACTGTAATAATGCAAAATTAGGAACTATAACTATTTGTTAAGATAAATCTGCCAGATTGAACTAGTTGTTTATACTATAAAAGATCATTCAAGATTGCAATTATAATAACTGATCTGAAACTATTAAGTTTAGTAAAAAAATGTTTAGTCTTAGGTTTCTGTATTGTTTTTTTTATAGAATGCTATTTTTGTATATAAGTGTATCTTTTTTTCAAGTTAGTAAAAAAAAGTTAGCTAGAAAGAAGAATAGTAAACATTAGTAATAATAATAAAAACTATGATAATTAGAAAACAAAAACTATTATAAGTCTGAAATGAAATTATATAAGAGTTGTTATGTTATATATATATATAAGTAAAGATAAACAGAAAATTCAAAGTTATATTTTTGATATTTTTATTATTAATGCATTAATAATGAAACTTTTAATGCATCAAAAATGTAACTTTAGTATTACTTTGCATAGAAACTAAGCATTCTTTGCTATGCTTTAGATAATAATAAACTAAGATTTTGTACTCATATCTTAGTCTTGCCAAATTGGTTTATTTCTTTTATAGTACAATATTTCATAATATTTAGTATTTTTAAGTAACAATTCATTGCATTTTTTTTAACTTTATATATTATGAACTCAACAATAGTGAAATCAATATTTTACTATAAAATTAATATTGATTTATTAAATAAAGTTATACAGAAGATTAAAATATATATAATCTAAAAGTTTTATATAAATTAAACAACCTTTTATTAATATATTATTGCATATTACAATTAGATAAACAAAATTTTAAAATTTTTATCTAAACATCATATATAAAAATAGATTTTTATTTAAAAAAAAAGAGGTCTTGCCTCAGTTTTTTTATTAATTATTAATATCTAAATACATTTTAATATATAGTATATATTATTTAATCTTTAAAAGCTAAAGCTTAGATTAATTTAGCTACAACTCAGACTTTGCTAAGAAGTCAAAGTCTTCATTTAGTCTACTATTGTATTGATATAATTTTGTAGTTTATAAACAGTTTTTTTTATATTTTAAGTTTAATTTCTATTTTTAATTTTGGTAATACTGTATTATATATATTGGCTATAGCCATTAAGACTGTTATTATATTTTTATCAGCTTTTTGTAACTGTGTTGTATTAAGTTTATTTGAAGTACTGTATTGTTCTTTATATTATATTAATCATATTTTTTTATATATTTTTTGTGCAATTTTATGCATTAATTAACTAATAAACTGTATTTTAATTTTGGTACTTGTGCTATTTTGTTTATGTATTTTGTATTATCTTGAGATAGCATCCCTAGTATTACTCTTGTTAGTTTAGTTTATGCATCTGTTAAGTATATGCTTTGAGTAATTAGCATTGTTATTTGGTGTTATGTTTTGTTATCTGTTATATCTTGCTTAGTTAAAATTTTGTTTACTGTTTCAGTTATTATTTTTTATAAACTTGTACTATTGTAGCTGCATATTAGTAGATAATAGTTGCTTTCTGTATCATATGCATGTTGGATTAGGATATTTCTTATTATTATATTTATGCAAGACTTTCAGTATTAGCAGCTCTTCTAGTAGTAATTTTATTTTAAAAGCTTTTAGTTAAGAATATTGGGATTAGTTTGTCTTTGTGTTAGAGCATATTGATAATTTAAGTAATTGTAAAAGGAATTTTAATTCAGGTTTTTGCAATTAGTATCTTAAATTTGTGCTTTTGCTTGTAATTGTTAGTATGCTATATGTAGAGTTGTTAATAAAGTGACATACTCTGAAGCCACTTCAAAATGAGCCCAACTCAAGTTAAAGTGAGCCAAAGATATATTTAAAAATTTAAAATAAAACTGGAGTAAACTGAAGCAGTTCTAAGCAAACCTGGAATGGCTCCAGAGTAAATCCAACCCAAGCTAAAGTAGGTTGAGAAGTTGCTTAACTCAACTTAACTCAACCCAATCTATTAACAACTCTAGCTATATAGCTAGCATTATGGGCATAATAAACAAATTTTCTGATATTGTGTTTGATTGGTTTGTTTTGTTATATAAAATATAAAATATTGATTTTGCTATTTACTACTAGTGGTGATCATCACTGGTAACATAAACTATTTTTCACATGATCATGAAATATAAGAATTGAACAACTTTAGTTAGTCAAATAATCATCAACTATATAGTTAAATAATATTTATTAGAATAAGTATATGTATTTTGCATAAAATGTTAATGCTATAATAAATTATTTATAGTATCCTATATGAAAATCAATTAAATAACATCAGCATTTTATACAAGATACACATCTAAAAGCATGATACATATTTGAAATCAAGCCTTTTAATTATATCAAATTGGCTATTTAACTAAAAAAAACTAACTGATTGATTTAAACTAATAATTATGACTACATATATGCTACAAAGTAATTATGTTGATCAAAATCATTATTATAACATGCACTAAACAGAAACATAGATCCTATAACAACTTTGAAAATCATTTTATCAACAAAATCTTTCATATATCTTATCTTATATATTGCCAAAATTGCTGATAAAATGATTATTTAAAAGTTGGCATCAGGAGATTGTTTGCAAATAGTTTGCCTGCCAAATATGTAGCAATACAAAAATTAAATTTGCAAACAAATATAACAATGATGAATAAACAAGATTTTAGCTTGTCAATATGTAATTAATAATAAGTGATTAATAATAAGCAATTAATAGTAATAACAAAATAAGCTTTCAGCATTTAACAACAATTAAACAAAATTATAACTACAAATGTATAATTATAACTTTAAACCTGATCTAACTATAAATATCTAACTTTAACCAAACAGCTGTATATACATAATTCTTAACCTAGTCCAAATTCATTACAAATACCAGTTTCTCTACTACTTAATGATTCTCTTTGTCAGCTAGTTCAGAGTTATACTTTGAATATCCATGAATATTATGGCATTTACCCAAACAGTAACTGCAGGTTTTAGAAGATGAAATATGATGTTTATTATGTTCTTCAACAAATGGCTTAAGCTATTTAAAAAGTCATCCTCTTGGCTTATGATATTTTGGATTAGATACCTTAATATCATTCAAAGATTGTCATGTTATTTGAGTAATTGTAGAAAGTGCCAATAATAAGTTGAAAGCAAGTTCTACAACTTCAGAAGCCATATTCAGAAGTGATGTTTCTTGTTTTACAACTTTAATAAAAAATATACTTAGAGGTAAGGATATTTTCTTTATGCCTAGTCCAGTATTATGACAATATTTTATGATAAATTGTACTAATATTTCAGTTAATTTTTCAGTAACACCCTCAGAAACTGCAACTTGAATACTAGTTTTGGCCATAGACATCATTGCACTAAATTGAACTTTTTTGTTAATATGCTTTCTAATAGTTAGTATATAAATATCACCAATTCTTAATTAATTAATATAATATAATAGTTTAGTTATAGTACTTTCTATACCTTGAGAGATTGTAATAAAATTCATGATATTAAATAAAAATGAATTAAATCAACAGGTATAAAAAAATAATATATAAAATATTGCATTGTTTGAATAAATAAAAACCTGATATTGATGTCAATATAAAATTCTTTGATTTATAATTTGCATACAAGTACAAAGCAACATCAAGTTATTAAAAATAGTGATATAATGTAGTATTGAAGCTAATGTAATATATAATACTTCCTAAAGCTCTTTAAGTGCATTAGAAGATATATTAGTCATAAGTTTCAATAAATGAATTTGAGATATATCATATAATCATTTAATTATATCACTATTATTAATATTACATTCTTTAACCTAGTCAATTGAAACTAGAGTTGCTTAATATAATAAAGCTTGATTCATTTGAGCCTTTTGTAAAGATAATGGAATAAGTGCCAACTTAGCCTCTAACATAGAATCAATTTCTTTAAATATGATATTATAAATAGACACAAGACTAACAAATAAATTGAACCTATAATAATCTGCAATTCAAGTATATTGTACTTTCTTTTTTAACTCTTGATCAATAACACTTATCAATTCATTTAATAAAGTACTATGGTCAACATGCTTTTTAACAACTCCAATAATAGATTTGACATGCTGAGTAGATTCTATTCTTGCTGTAGATACCTTAGCTACTAAATTTCTTGCCTACAATGTATAATTATTATAAAGCTTTTTGAAATATAAATAATATGATTTGTATTTTATTAACATATTATAGTACTTTAGCTTAAATTGCTCTTTGTTACAGCTGTTTTGCATACAATAAAAATTATTAACAAACTATTTCATTGCATTACCTTTGAGCTTTGCTTTTGCTTTCTTTTTGATATTTTCAAGAAAAGATAAATATATAATATATGCATATCTGCAGATAGAACATATAAACTGCAGCATTTATTATTATATCACTATCAGTAAATAACATCTTGAGCTGAAAATTATTAGTTGCTTTCAACATATATTGTAAAATCCAATTGTAATCAGCCTAAGTCTCATACTTAATTAAAGCTTAGGCAATAACTCTTGTTTTAAAATTGTTATTAATGTCAACAAACAAACTAAGAGCCATTTCATATCTGTTAGTTTTTATCATATTATCATGAATTACAACATTATGGAATCTTGTTCAAAGATTATTGTGTTGTTAACTGGTCATCTAGAAGAAACCAGTAAGTTCATTAGATGGCCCTTCAAGCTATAATATAACTATATAATTAGAATTAAGATCATGTTGCTGTAAAAGGTATAATAGCATTATGCTTGCATCAGATTTATTATGAATTTGTACACTTTTAAACTTCTGAATCACATTATACAAGTTCTTTTTTTTTATATAATGTTAAGAAAATTCTTTGACAAGAAGATCAAACTGCTAACTAGCATCTAAACAACTATTTGTAGTATAATACTCAATTTTATCTAGAATTTTCTGTAAAAGACATAAATTTTTTGGCACTAATTTAATAGTTGCTATATTATAGCTATGATTATGCTTATTGTTAAGTTTAGTAAGCCATACTTTTTTTTCATACTTTCCAAAATAAAAACCAACTTCTCATTTGCAATTTGTTTTACTTGAACTACTATCATGATGCAAATTTATATTTTTAATCTTTTTTGGTTAATAAGTTTTGCTTTTTAGCAATTGTAGATACATTGATGAACAATAGACTTATCAACAGAGTCAAGATCTTTATGGTTTTTATTAGCTACAAAACTATTTTGCTTGGCAAATGAATTAACAACAGCTTGAACATGGTCTCAGTTATTAAAAAAATTCCCAACTTTCAATATTGTTTCATTAAAATCTATATTATAATCATTAATATTATTTTCATTTGTATTATTATCACCAAAATCTAATAAATAGTTTTCTACATTGTCTTCATAATTTGATAAATGTTCTATTAAGCTTGTAACTAAGTGAAAAGAAAACAAGACTGTTAGTTAGTATAGTTTTGCAAAAGAATTGAACATGCAAGAGCACAAAGAAAGATATAAATAAAAAGATATGAATATGATAAAAAGTTTCTATAGCTTGAATTCAAATATAAAATACTAAAATGAAATGCAAAAAAAGTTAATTGCATCAATTTCTAATATAATATCTTTATAATGCATAACATGTTGTTAGTAAAAGTTATAGTTAGAGCTAAGAAAATACATGAAAGTAAGTTATAAGTAAACAATGCAGTAATTAAAGGTAAAGGGTTGTGAATTCAAATATAGAATAATTAAACACTTAAATAACTGTAAAAAGAATAAAAAAAAATTAAATTATTAATAAACTATTTTTGTATAACATGTATTGTATATACTAGACACATGACATCAGTGATAATCACCAGTAGTGATTTATAATAATTTTCTAAAATATTATAATATATATTTTTGTGATTTATATCTGTTTTTATAATAGAAAAATCTGGTTGTATAATATAATTAGTAGGATTATTGGCTGTAAATATATAGTGTAAGTCTTTTTTTGCAACTATTGTTTTTTATATTAGCCAATTTGGCTAGTTATTTAAATAGTATATTTGATATATATCTTTTGTTATAATTGTATTTACTATTTTTATCAGTTTAATAAATTATATTTTGTTTGTAATAATTTCTAGTTTAGATCTATAAGATGTAATAATTGAGCTAATTATTAGTATTGTAATAAGTATTTTGATTATAAAAAGCTATTTGAAAACTATTATTTTGCATTATTGCTTTATTAGTAGAATGTTACATATTATCATATTCTGCTATAATTGTTAATTATTTGTTGTTTTTAAATTAGTTAAAAGGTAATATATTTGTAGTCTTTGCATTTTTGCTATAGGTTTTGTATATAATTAGCCACTTCTAAATATTCTATTATCTCTTTTGCTAGGCTGTAATATTTTAATAATATGCTTTGGTTTTTATATATTTTTGCATTGTTATTGTATTTAGTTATTTATCTTAAGTTATTTATATTTGCTCTAATAAATTTATTGTTATCAACTATTATTTTTTGAAGATTTTATATATTGACTTTTTTTGTATATTTTTTTTTTAAGTTTAAAGTTGTTTTATTTGCAACTTGTATATGCTTTTAGTTTGTTAGTTGTATTATCAATAGTCTAATAATTGATTATTGCTTATTTGTTTTTTATAAAAATAATATGTATTATATATAGCTGATAGATGTATTATGCTTAATTACTTATGCTGCTTTTTCAAGTATTTGATAATAAGTAAATATGTGTGAATTTAAATTAATGAGATTGTAAATATTATTGTATAAATTTTGTTTTATGATATTTGGTTCTTTTTCTCTTAGTATATAAAATATTGTATATAAAATTTGTATTTAGATTAGTGTATTATTCACTAATTAAAATTTTTTAATATAAAAGACTGATATAAAAAAGATACACAAGTTGAACAAATAAATAAAGGGTAAATAATAAGTAAATAACAGAAAAAAATCTGCTATTATTCTATCCTATATTTGTCAAATAATGGCAGCATAACAGCAGCATAATAGCAAAATAACAGTAAAATAACAGAAGGTTTGTTAATATAAGTAACATAATAGTAACATAATAGCAAAATAATAAAACTGTTTTATTATTTTGCTATTATGTTACTATTATGTTACTTATATTGACAAACTTTCTGTTATTTTACTGTTATTATGCTGTTATGCTGCTATTATACTGCCATTATTTAATAGATATAGAATAGAATAATGGCAGATTTTTTTCTATTATTCATCTATTATTCATTTTTTATTTATTTGTTTGACTTATAATAGTTAGATAAAATATCAAAAAACAAATATTCAAATATTATATAAAAAAAAAATAATAATTAATAAATTCAACAAACTATCAGCTTAAAATTATAAAATGATATAATGATGTTATACTAAAAAATTTTTTTTTTTTGGTATTAAGATGAGGTCATACCCTCTAGTCTTTATTAGTATATTTGTTATAGCTAGTACAAATCTATTTATACATTATCTATCACTATATATCTATTTAGACATAGGACTCAGATATATTTATCTGTGACCTAAACCTATCAGAGTTTTGTATTGTGTTCTACTTATACCTAACCTGGATTTTTGTTTTATTACTAATTATATTGGATAACTTGCATATTCCTCCTATGTCTTATAATCTATTTTAACTACTCCCAAATTGGTTTATTAAATTATTTGCTTCTTTTGCATTATCATTTTTGATTTGCCTAAAGGGTGCCTCTCTAGCATATATCTTAAGCCAGATTCCTACTGCTATTGCTAACTTCTCAATTTAGATACTAGTAGCATGTATCTTAAGCCAAATTCCTGCTACTGCTGCTAGTTTGCAACCCTTTTTAATCTTAGCATTATGTTTAATAGATTGTGCATTTAATCTGCCCCTTAAGTACTCTTTTTTATGGTATAGATAGAACTCTATTTCAGAAATAAATACATATTCTCTTCTAGCTATAAACTAATGTTTTCACTACTGACACAAAGTTCTAGAGGTTTTAACTTCCAATTTAGATATCTCAATCATAATTAGTACAGTATTTATATTGTATGTTCTACTTGTTTCATTATAGATATGATCAGAGCTCTGATTTAGAACCTTTAGATGTACAAAACAGGCTACAACTTCTCTATACAGATGGCTACCTTCTATTCTTAAACATTTTATGATGCCAAAGATGCTTCTAATCTTGATAAGGCTAATCCTTTATTACAAAGCTTCTATGCATATACTGCTTCTCTTACTACTTCAGTTCATATTACCTTGTTATCATCTTCTCAATCAAGTACTCTACAAGTTGAATATAAAGATATTGATACT